GCTGCCGGGGGTTGTTGTGGCCAAAGGGCAGGACCCGGCCCTTGGCCTGCTGGAACCTCATCCCGTTGGAATCAGCCCATGGATCCAGCCTGTCCAGGTCCCTCTGCAGAGTCAAGCAATCCTGCCTGAATAATTTTGACTCCTAAACCTGTCAGCACAGTCCCTCTTCTGCCCTATTCGTATCTCAGAACAAGTCTCAGCAATCAGCTTCTCATGATAAGGAGTCGGGCACTTGCAGTGTTCCCTTTGGAAGTAAAGCTGATGGATAGTTGGGAATTACCTGCAGATTGCATCATATTTTACTCAGTTCTGGGTTAAGATTAGACAACAAGCACAGAGTTATGACAGCACAGCCCATGGGAGACAGGAGATTGTAACATGACTGCTGTTAAAAATACAGCTCAAAGCACAGAAAGATCTTCCTCCAGGGCTGCAGCTTTTCACAGAATCGTGGAATGGTTTGGTTTGGAAAGGACCTTAAAGACCATCCCATTCCACCCCCTGCCATGGGAAGGGACACCTTCCACTAGACCAGGTTGCTCCAACCTGGCCTTGGACACTTCCAGGGATCCAGGGGCAGCCACAGCTTCTCTGCCCAACCTGGGACAGGGCCTCAACACCCTCACACCCCAAAATTCCTTCCCAATATCCCATCTAACCCTGCCCTCTGCCAGCAGAAAGCCATTCCCTGTGTGCTATCCCTTCATCCCTTGTCCCCAGTCCCTCTCCAGCTCTCCTGGAGCCCCTTTAGGCCCTGCAAGGGGCTCTCAGCTCTCCCTGGAGTCTTCTCTTTTCCAGGGGAACCCTCCCCAGCTCTCCCAGCCTGGCTCCAGAGCATCCAAGACCATCTCATTCCAAAACCCTGCCATGGGCAGGGACAATTTCCACTAGTCCAGATTGCTCCAAGCTCCATCCAACCTGGCCTTGAACACTTTCAGGGGTGGGGAATCCCATTAATTAATCATTAACTAATCAAGAGAGCTTTGCTTGGCTTTACTGAAGATCTGTGTTAATAAAACCCAACCCTGCAAGCTCTAAAATAATGTTAGATGACAACAAAAAGTCATGGAATTTTTGGGTGGACTTTTAGTTCTGGAGACAGCCTTTATTAATATATTTAATTATGGCCCAGCAAAGATTTAAAACCCTTGCCTCAAGATTTACAAGTATTTCCAAGAGGAGAGGACAGGAACAGCAGAGATCTATGAACTACAAGACAGAGGCAGCAGATAAAAAGAAGGAGCAAGATGAACAACAGCAAAACACAGGAATGTGCCTGGAAAACACCACCCTGATGAACTGCCTGTCAAACAGTCACACGTGGAAATTGAATTTAGACTTAAACATGCCAATATGTTGCCTTTTTTTCCCCCTTAAAACATGCATCACGCTGTAAGTAACTTAATTTATAGAGACATCTCTCGCTCAGGCCACTGCTCAAATACTTTAACTGCTATTTACTCCTCAGTCTATATTCCTCATACTTTCCTAGATAACATTTAACCCCAGGAGCCACAGGGAATGTTATGCTGACTCCAGCTTAGTTTCCTGCCAAGAAAGTGAGCAGGAAAAAAAAAACCAGCCACCCCAGTAAAAATTTATCTCCCTTCAGAGAATACAGCAAAGCTCAAAGACTTCCATTATTTCCAAGATTAAGGGTTATCTGTTGGAAAAGCAATGATTTTATTATGCAGTGAGTTCACTGGTGAGAGCAAAAACCACGTGAAGCAGAAGAGAGGGAGAAGAGTCATCAGACATCATCATCCTGCTTTACTCCCAGAGAGGAGACCCTCGGATGGAATAAATTCACATTATTCACCCCACTGCACTTGCAAAGCACAACCAGCCACGGAGCTGGGAGGATCTGCAGGAAAACAGGCACTTGCAAAGAATTCCAGAGCTGTAAAAATTAATCCCCCACACCCTCTCCATCGACTTCCACGTGGGAATAAAGCACAGGACAGTGGCTGGGTGGCTGCAGCTGCCAAGGGCTTCATGCCAGCAGGACAGCAGGGAGGAAAAACTATGGGAATGGGCAGATTTCACCCCAAAATCCACCTCATTCCTTAGGGAATCTGGCCTCATACAGACAATTATATATAGGAAGTGCACATGGACTCACTCGAGTCACGTCTGGCTTCTCTCATTTTGCACAGAAATAACCAGATTAACACCACACAAAACTCCTAAAAATAATTCCAGGTGCAGCCCAGCCCAGTCTCTGATATATCTGTACATTAAACAGGGCTCTCCTTCCGTGGTTTCAGCACTTGGAAGAGCAAAAGAAACTCCCAGGAATGTGGAGTTTTCTGCCTTGTGCTTCTCTACAAACACAGCTCTTAGGAGATTTCAGCTTAAAAACAAGAAATCAGGGCACACTCTGGGTGTCACAACACATTTGCCACCCAAACTCACCCACCCTGAGTGCTTTGGGTGGAACAGGAACTCGGGTTCCACTGAAAAGCAAGGAAAAAAAGGTGGTGAAAACAATAAATCAGGGATAAAAAAAGAGCAGCCAGATTTTGGAGGGTGCAGAGGACAATTTTTTTTTTTACATGCTGCAAACACGACGAGTCTGATCTGCACCGTGGGCAGGTGAAGAGGAGAAAGATTTGGGCTCTAAAATTTGCCTTTTTAAGTAGGAAACTACAGCTTTTTCCAAATCCTGGGGGGCTTCTCCCACCTTTTTCTTACGCTCCCAATGTTCCAGGGGGGAAAAAAACCCAACCCCATGAAATATTTCAATCAGATTTAATTCGAGAAAGGGGATTTGACCTCTTTATTTTGGAGCAAATCTTCCTATTTTCTGTTTCCTCTCTTAAAACAGATGTAAAGGATCTCCTGATTTATGTGGGTTTGTATTTATGCTGTCCAGAAACACGAGTTCTGGGAATTCAGGACGTTCACCCCTAATTTTTTTTTCGGAGCTTCACAGAAACTGCAGCGTCAGGACAGCGAAATAACCCCATTTGTCACCGAAACCATAATCAAAAATACACCAAAGCCCCCAAAGAGCAGCAGTTATAGATTAGTGGAGCTCTGCTTTAGCTGAAGGTTAATGGGATGCACATGTGGATAAATGTAAGAGAGAACAACTGTAACAATTAAAGGAGCAGCATTTGGAATTCCAACCTCTCTCCGTCGTGATGCCCAACAGCTCTGCTTAATCTTCCAAACCACAGCTGCCACCAGGAGCAAGGACAGGAAACAACTGGAAAAGGAAAGAAAAAGAGAGGGATGTTTTTATTTTTCTCCTCGTTGGTTTTACAGCGGCTGAAAAACCGCAGGAAAGAAAGAAATGGGAAGAAAAGTTCACATAATAGTAGGGGTGTATTGATGGGAGATGATCCAGCACTCCTGACATCCAGGGAGCAATGACACAGCTATTTCCAGGGAAAACTCCTATTCCAAAGTGCCCTGTTTGACTTCCTTATATGACACTCCCCAGTTTTCCCCAGGAAATCTCAGCAGTGAGATTTAATCAGATTGGAAAAGCCACTGTTGCCTCTCCCTGGTGATATTTAAAGTGAGAGGATAAACCCCCAAAAAGTAAAAGCCTTGAAAGCAGCAGAGAAAAATCGATCACTATTTCTTTTCCAAATGACAAAAAATAAGATAAAGTGCAGAGCAGTTGAATTCTTTCAAACAGCCTGGTGCAGAACCACAGGCATTTCCTGATTCCCCCAAATCTATGTTGGTTTTCTTCAATCAAAAGAGAGGGAAAAAAAAAGGATGAATGGATTTATCGACTTCTGGGGGAAATGCAAGGCAGCAGATTTAACAAAAAAGCAGTTATAATAATAATAATAATAAAAGCTGACTTTATTGACAGTTATGATCTTATCACACTGAATACCTAATGAGCAACTTCAAGGCACACAAGCAAAGATTAAAATCCAAATCCCAGTGGAAGCCTCTCTCCTAAGAGAAAACATCTCCAAACCTCCTTCCCATGTTCCAGTGTGTATTTAAAGACAGTTTAAATTTCCATTTAAAGGAAGATTAACCAGAACAGACTTATTTCCTCCACAGTGCAGGATTAACACTGATATCCAGGCTCTGGATGCTTGAACAGGGGTTTCTCTTGAGGAGGGACTTTGCAAAGCACCACAAAGATCTTCTCACTCTTCACAACTCCCTGACAGGAGGGGGGAGCCAGGGGGGGAAACAGGCTCTGCTCCCAGGGAACAAGGGACAGGAGGAGAGGGAATGGCCTCCAGCTCTGCCAGGGGAGGTTTAAGTTGGATATTGGGAAAATTTATTCACCAAAAGGGTTGTCCAGCCCTGGCACAGCTGCCCAGGGAAGTGGTGGATCCCCATTCCTGGAGGGATTTCAAATCCCTGTGGATGTGGCACTTGGGGACAGGGGGCAGTGGTGGCCTTGGCAGTGCTGGGGGATGGTTGGACTGGATGATCTCAGAGGGCTTTTCCAACCTTAATGATTCTGTGATTCTATGACTTTTACCAATAAAAGCCAGGTCAGGCAGCAGGGACCATTCCCTGAGATGGAAATGAGGAAGAGCCTGTTCCTGATGACAGATCACTGTCCATAATTCCATATTATGGAAACTGTGGATCAGGCACTGAACCCCCAAGGGGCACCCAGCTGGCAACTGCTTCTATTTTTCAGGCTTAGATATGGGCAGAAACTTGTTTTACTATCATATAATGTATTATATTAAAAAATTGGCACTTGTATGGCCCTGGCCCAGGTTGGGCAGAGAAGCTGTGGCTGCCCCTGGATCCCTGGAAGTGTCCAAGGCCAGGTTGGAGCAACCTGGGCTAGTGGAAAGTGTTCCATGGCAGGGAGGTTGAACTGGATGGGCTTTAAGGTCCTTCCCAACCCAAACCATTCCATTATTCCCTGACTTCAGCACTGAAACATCTCCACAGCTCCTAAAGACTCCTACAGTGCCTGCTTCTTTATAAATTTAAGCAGGATCTCAGAGAGGTTTGTTTGGCCTCTCTCATTTTAAGAGCTACACATCCCAAATCACTTCCTCCACGTTTCCTCTAAATATCCAGACCTGACATGATTACTCTGGAACAGCCTGACCCTGTTTCTGCAAACACAAATCGTTCAGACAAGCATTGTAATGGCTCTTTTATTTCCCTTTTCCAGAGGGACTGGATTTTGCAGTAAAA